CTTCTTCGCTGACCAGCCCATTCAGATCTACGAGAAGATTGTTTCTGGGAAGGTGAGGCCTGGAGGCAGGGGTTCCATCCAGAACAGACCTTCCCTACCCACCATTAATAGAACAATCTAGAAGTTAATAAAGTCAAACCAGGCAGTGAAGCCAGGTGCATCGGCCATGCTGAGGTGAACACCTCACATAACCTCACCAGCTGTCTGGACCCACAGTGCCAACCTCCCAACAGCTTCCAAAACCCCGAGCCTCACTCTTGCCCTGCCCTATGTGAGGCTCTACTTGCCCCTAGTCATACTCCTTAGTGTGAGTTTCCACAAGTTCCATAGCAGAAACGCTTATAATTTGGTTCCCAGACCCACTGGGCACTCACTGGAGGTGTGCGGCCCATATTCCCTTTCTCAGATGCAGAGTTCATAACTCGGGGGGTGCAGGTGAGGGAACTATCAGATTTAGCGTCCACAGAGTGCACTGAGCGGCCACTACACCAGTGCACCCCCTCCGTCCTACCCAGCATTCTGAGGGACTGAGGAAGCTAAGGTGTGGAGAGTAGATATGTCTGGTCCAAGATCCAAGGGCCCAAGAGAGGCTGGGAACCCCACTTTTGTCTTCAGCTCTCACATCTCGCTGGGAGGACATTTCTGTCCCTCTACCTGGCCCAGGAAATGGTGGAAGCAACCCCTGGTTCGGCCTGGGCAGGTCGACCCGACTCCAGGTCCCACCAGCTCAGCCACTCCTTGGCTTTGAAACCTCAGCCAAGTGCCTTCCCCCTCGGAGCCTCATCTTACCCACCAGAGAACTGAGGAACCAGCCACCTTCCCCTCAGAGAGGTTGAGAGAAATCACCAGCTGCTTAATGGGGTCAGGAAAAAGGGAAAGATGAGGTGTCTGCCACCAGTCAAAATAGAAATTGCCAAGAGAATGGCCCTAAGTGGGAATGTGGAAAACAAAGAAAAAGCTATAGAAGATTCCAGCGGGGAAGAGAAGAGCATAACTCCTTTGTAGCATTTCATAGTTCCCACGCACCCTCTGCAGTATTATCTCGCTCATGCAACCCTGGGATATCTGCCCCATGCCAGAAAGGCAGGAACAGGCCCAGAGAGGTTAAAGGCCATGGCCAAGGTCACAGCCTGTAAGAGGCAGAGCAGTGCTGGAAATCGGTTCTTGTAGCTTTGAATCCAATGAACAGTTGCCTATGAAGCCATGGGTTCAGAGCGTCTGGGGAGAGTTTCTGGAAGATTGAACTGAGCTTTAAAGAATGAAAGAGCGATAGCAATGCAGAGAGAAAAATAGAAAAAAATCATTTCTCTCATAAGCATGGGTAGTTCTGAAGTCTCCAGATGCCAGCAGAGACCAGATGTCTCCAGATGCCAGCCCCTTAGGAAGCAGTGGCTAAAAATGCAAGTTCTAGAGTCTGACAGACCCAAGATGGAGCTGCCCTGTCCCGCTCCTCTGTGTGACCTTGGGCAAGCTGTTTTACCCTTCCAAGCCTCAGTTTCTACTCTAAAATGGGAGCCAACATAGCACTTCACTTGGAGCATCGGTCTCAAGGTGGCCGCCTCTCCAGCACCACTGCACAGCCGGGGAACCAGCTCGAGATGGCAGGCCCCAGCCCCGACCTTTTGAATCAGAAACTCCAATAGGCCTGATTACCTGTTTTGATAGGATTCCAGTGTACACTCAAGATGGTCCTCTGCCCCATAGGACTGTTGGGTAGCGAAGGCAGTGCTACGGGTCCTCAAGCTCCAGGCCGGTTTCCAACCCTGTCTGTGTCACCCCCACCCCCATCCTCAGGTGCGGTTCCCGTCCCACTTCAGCTCTGACCTGAAGGATCTGCTGCGGAACCTCCTCCAGGTGGATCTTACCAAGCGCTTCGGGAACCTCAAGAACGGGGTCAACGACATCAAGAACCACAAATGGTTTGCCACGACTGACTGGATTGCCATCTACCAGAGGAAGGTGGGGCCCCTCTCCAGGTATCCTGAGGGCGTTGGGGGCAGGCCAAGAGCCAGGGAAGGCTGCCAGTGGAGAGATGGAAAGGGGAGAAGAATTTGAAAATGGGCCAGGGGCTCTGGGTCATTCTAGCTGGGACAGCTTAGAGCAATGGAGGTCTAGAAATGGGATTGTGGGGTCACTGGGCAGAAGACCCTCCTCTCTGGAAAGCCATTTCCCCATTGGTGAGTTGGCTATCCCAGTAAACTATCTCATGAATGTTAGGCCATTTGTATTTATCGTTTTAACGAGGATTATGTTGACTGCTGAGGTCTGAGTGGTTCTTGACCCCTCTCCAGGTGGAAGCTCCCTTCATACCAAAGTTTAAAGGCCCTGGGGACACAAGTAACTTTGACGACTATGAAGAGGAAGAGATCCGAGTCTCCATCAATGAGAAGTGTGGCAAGGAGTTTTCTGAGTTTTAGGGGTGTGCCTGTACCCCCAAGGGTTTTCTTTCTTTTTTTGTGGGTGGTGGGTGGGAGGGTTGGATCGAACAGCCAGAGGGCCCCAGAGTTCCTTGCATCTAATTTCACCCCCACCTCAACCTCCTGGGTAGGGGAGCAGGAAGCCCAGATATTCAGAGGGACAGAAACACCAGCTGCTCCCCATCGCTCCCTTCGCCCTCCTGCCCTCCCTGATGCTTTTGCCTTCCTCCACCCCAGCCCACTTCTGCCTGTTTTAAATGTGTCTCAGTTCTAGTCAGACCAGGTCTTGCTAGTGTATCCAGGGACAGGGTGTGGAAAGGGGGGCCCAAACTTAACTCCAGCCCCTTTCCCTCCCTACCTTCCTCACCAAACCACCAGCAAACTTGATAAGGGAGAAAAGAATGGCCAACCTTCCCCTCAAAGGAATCTTGCCTGGGATGGAGAGATTTTAGTAACATGTGCAATGGGCTACTTGCTAGAATTTTTTTTAAAATACAATTTACAAACTTATTTAAGTTCCACCAGTGCCTCCCTCCCACCTTCCTATGCTCCCCTCCCATCTCTCCACCCCCCAGATCCATTTTAACAAGGCTGGGAAGCAGACTGACTTGTAAAGGAAAGAGCTGGGGTTCCAACCTCACCCCCAAGCTGCTGATCTGCGCCCCCCCCCCCCCAACAAGCCTGTAAGGGTCTCAGCCCCTTTAGAAATCCCCTACCTACTCCAGCTGCAACAGACCTTTCTTTACCCTTGGGCTTTGGGACCCAGACAGAGCAGCTGCCCCTCTCCCTGCCAAAGAGGAGTTGTCCCCCAAAAAATAGAGGGGGAGCCCCAAGCCCAGGGTCTTTCTCCCAGCAGCACTTCCCCAAACATCTTAATTTTATTCTCAGCTAGATTTTAATGTCCAGCCTCCTCTCAGCTTAGTTGGGAAGGCAACCCTTCCTCCGCCCCCCACAAAAGAAGGCAAAGCCCCACTCTGCCTCTGTGGCCCCAGTTCAAGGCCAGGATTGCTAGGGAGGGGCTGTTTTATCCACCCAACAGCCCCCGCCCCGTCATCCTGGACGTTCCTCTGCTTAGCTGTCAGCTGTCACCCCTTCCCCCACTTGTGCATTTCTCTTTTAATAGAAAAGTGGGGAGGCCCTCTTCAACCCCAAATCTGTTCCTCTCATAACCTCCCCATCCCAGGAGGAGCTCTCAGGCCTGGGGTGGGGCCCCGGGTGGGCGCAGGGTGATTCAACCGGTGTGCTGGGAAGGACGTGACTTCCTCTTGAACAGTGTGCTGTTGTAAACATATTTGAAAACTATTACCAATAAAGTTTTGTTTAAAAAAAAAAGTGTCGCCGGTGTTCCCGACTTCGGTCAAACACCCCCCACACCCACACTCACACATCCCCTGGAGGGTTGGAAAGGGAATTTCGCACCCCAGCGTCCAGGCTGATCGGGACCTGGGCTGGAGTCCTTGTAAAACCAGGTTTAGCTGACTTCCGCCACTCCCCACCAGGCCCCGCAGAAGAAGGGGGCGCCAAACTGCCCTATAACCCTGAATTCAGGGTTCCCCGTGTCTGCGTCGCGACCCCTCGGCGTAGAGCCCCGGGCCGAGAGGGAGCGCCAAGGCGACTCTGGGACAGGCGCACCGAGAGGCCGAGCTCTGGGAGGTGGGGGCGACCCTGGTCGAGAGCGGTCAGGGTGGAGAAGACGGTGCGCGTCCCCCGCCCCGCCTTCTCAACCCTAGGGCCACTGGGGTGGCGGCGGCCCGAGGGTTCCCGCAACGCCGGGCAAGCACGGCAGCCCGGCCCGCGAGCGGCGAATTCCCGGTAAGTGCGGTCCCGAGAGCGGAGCGCGCTTGGGAGGCGTGGAGATGGGGGCTGGGCGCCGGGGACGTCTGGGTCCCGCGCCCAATGGCTGGAGGGCGGCCGAGAGCCGCCCGTCCGCCCAGCCCGCCCCCTCTCCCCTCCCCCCCGGCGCTCCCCTCCCCCTCCCCCGCCCGCCGCTTTCCCCCGCCCCCGCCCCGGCGCCAACTCCGCGGCGCCTCCTTAAAAAGCGCGCGGGAGTTGTAAGGGGGGGGTCGGAGCGAGCTGGAGTGAGCCAGAGCGCAGGGTAAAGGGGGCGGGCGGGGGGCCCGGGCTCCACCTTAAAAGCGGGCGCGTGGGGGTGGGAGGGAGGAAGGCGGGCGGCGGGGCGGAGGGAGGGAGGGAAGGAAGGGGGGCCGGAGTGTCCCGGGCGCAGGGCGCGCGTGCGGCGGCGGCGGCGGCGGCGGGGAGGGGCCGGCCGCGCCGCGCTCCCCTCCTCCCTCCTCGCATCCCCGGCCCCGCGCGCGCCCAGCAGAAGCGGGTCTGTGTGTGCGTGCGTGCGAGTGAGTGAGTGTGTGCATATTTTTTTTCTCTCTTTTCTTTCTCTCTCACTGTTTTCTATCTCTCTCTCTCTCTCTCTTTTTTTTTTTTTTTTTTTGCAAAGAAACAGCAGCGCCGCCGCCGCTCCACCGAGGCGCTGCGCCCCCCGGGGGGGGGGAGGAGGAGGAGGCGGGCAGCGGCGGAGGGAGGGGAGCTGGGGAGGGGGGCGCCGCGCTGGGAGGGAGGCAGCGCGCACGGTGCAGCCGGGCCGGGCGGGAGGCATGGCGGGGCCCCCGGCCCTACCCCCGCCGGAGACGGCGGCGGCCGCCACCACGGCGGCCGCTGCCTCGTCGTCCGCTGCTTCCCCGCACTACCAAGAGTGGATCCTGGACACCATCGACTCGCTGCGCTCGCGCAAGGCGCGGCCGGACCTGGAGCGCATCTGCCGGATGGTGCGGCGGCGGCACGGCCCGGAGCCGGAGCGCACGCGCGCCGAGCTCGAGAAACTGATCCAGCAGCGCGCCGTGCTCCGGGTCAGCTACAAGGGGAGCATCTCGTACCGCAACGCGGCGCGCGTCCAGCCGCCCCGGCGCGGAGCCACCCCGCCGGCTCCGCCGCGCGCCCCCCGCGGGGGCCCCGCCACTGCCGCGCCGCCGCCCACGCCCGCCCCGCCGCCACCACCCGCGCCCGTCGCCGCCCCCGCCGCCCCGGCCCGGGCGCCCCGCGCGGCCGCCGCGGCCGCCGCCGCCACAGCGCCCCCCTCGCCCGGCCCCGCGCAGCCGGGCCCCCGCGCGCAGCGGGCCGCGCCCCTGGCCGCGCCGCCGCCCGCGCCTGCCGCTCCTCTGGCAGTGGCGCCTCCGACCGGCCCGCGTCGCGCTCCCCCGCCCGCCGTCGCCGCCCGGGAGCCTCCGCTGCCGCCGCCGCCACAGCCGCCGGCGCCGCCACAGCAGCAGCAGCCGCCGCCGCCGCAGCCACAGCAGCCGCCGGAGGGGGGCGCGGCGCGGGCTGGCGGCCCTGCGCGGCCCGTGAGCCTGCGGGAAGTCGTGCGCTACCTCGGGGGCAGCGGCGGTGCCGGCGGCCGCTTGACCCGTGGCCGTGTGCAGGGGCTGTTGGAGGAGGAGGCGGCGCGGGGCCGCCTGGACCGCACCCGCCTTGGAGCGCTCGCGCTGTCCCGCGGGGACAGGCCCGGACGGGCGCCGCCGGCCGCCAGCGCCCGAGCGTCTCGAAGCAAGGTGAGCGCGCTGGGTAGAGAGGGCGCCGCGCGGTGGGCAGGTGCGGGCGAAGTTGGTAGCGGGGGCGCGAGTCCCAGGAGGAATCGGGCAGCTGGGTTTTGCGCTTTTTCCTTGCGGGCTGGGTGCGTGGTGACCTTGGTAAGTTGACTTAATCTTTCCCAGCCTCAGTTTCCTCCTGTGTAAAACGCGACTTAACAGTAGCGATCTCTTGGGGTTGTAGATCGAGTTTAGTGAGATTTGGCTACTGGGGGCTTTATTAACACAGATTGGCACGGAGCGAATGCGTAAAAGTTAATCTGCCTTGATACTAATGGTGGCCGTTAGGTACACTGCTCTGTCTAGAATCTCAGGGACTGGGTCCAGGGCCAGAACAGCTGCTAATTTTTTGTGCCTCTTTTCCTGGCACCAGAGAGGTGGAGAAGAGCGACTGCTTGAGAAGGAAGAAGAAGAGGATGATGAAGAAGATGAAGATGACGAAGACAATGTGTCTGAAGGCTCCGAGGTACCTGAGGGCGACCGCCCTGCAGGTGCCCAGCACCACCAGCTTAATGGCGAACGTGGCCCTCAGAATGCCAAGGAGAGGGTCAAGGAGTGGACACCCTGTGGACCCCACCAGGGCCAGGATGAAGGGCGGGGGCCGGCGCCAGGCAGTGGCACCCGGCAGGTCTTCTCCATGGCAGCCATGAATAAGGAAGGGGGATCAGGTAAGGACCCCTCTGGGTAGAGGAGGGTGGCTGGTGAGGAGAAACCAAGCCTCAAGACAACCACAGGCACATGCTTTTTATTTCCTAGCCTCTGCTGCCGCTGGGCCAGACTCCCCATCCCCCGTGCCTTTGCCCCCAGGAAAACCAGCCCTGCCTGGGGCTGACGGGACTCCCTTTGGCTGTCCGTAAGTTGGGATGTTTGAGGCATGAGGGTGGTGCCTAGGAGTGTGTAACAGAACCAGAGAAGCATCACTCCTCACTGGTTCCCTCTAATCCAACACAGTACTGGGCGTAAAGAGAAGCCAGCTGACCCTGTAGAGTGGACAGTGATGGATGTGGTAGAATATTTCACAGAGGCCGGCTTCCCGGAGCAGGCAACGGCTTTCCAAGAACAGGTGAGTCGCCAACCCTGGACTTCCCCCTCCATCCCAGGGCCTTAATGGGGGTCTGCTCTAACCCTGTGCTATCTCTCTCTCAGGAAATTGATGGCAAGTCTCTCCTGCTCATGCAGCGGACAGATGTGCTAACCGGTCTGTCCATCCGCCTTGGCCCAGCGCTGAAAATCTATGAGCACCATATCAAGGTGCTCCAGCAAGGCCACTTTGAGGATGATGACCCTGATGGCTTTCTAGGCTGAGCGCCCAGTCCTCACCCCTGCCCTGACCCATTCCAGCCCCATCTCACCCAAGACCCCCAGAGTCCAGGAGTTGGACCAGGGTCACTCTCAACTCTCATAATAGATTCCAATGAGAGGGCACTCTCCCCTACTCATCTCTTCCCTGGGGTGTCCTCAACACACACATCTGGCCTCCAGCACATCCCAGATCTCCGTAATGGAGGAGTGTGGGGTGGGACAGGGCCTGCTCATTTCACCCCAGGAGGCCAACCCTGCCCCCAAGCCTAGGACATTTTGGGGGGGGAAATGGGGGCCTAAATCTTCAGTTCAGCCAGATGTTTCCTATATAAATGATTTGTTCTGCCTGTTCATTTTGGTGGGTGGCCTTTCTTCCCTCCCCCACCAACCAGGCCCCTTCTTGGTCTGCCACCAGCCTCCATCCCCTGGGAACAGCTGGGGTGGGGTCCGTGGGTCTTTCCTACTCCCCTTTCTGTTGGTTGTTGCTCCAGCTGGCTGTATTGCTTTTTAATATTGCACCGAAGGTTTTTTAAATAAAGTTTTAAAAAAAAAAAGAGCTAGAAAAAGACTAGGCGTCCCTTTTTATGAATGGAGTGGGGGAGGGGCATTGAGGAGCCACACCAGCCTCCTGGGAGAGTTGGATTAGGACTGAATTGTTCTTGGAGAGTGACGGGTAGTGAATGGGGCTGCCTCACAGGTAGCTATAAATGTGACTGCTCTAGGAGGACAGGAATATTTGCGTAGTTCTGTGATCTCCCCAAGCCCAGAACAGTGTCCAGGCACAGCAGGTAATCAAATGTTTGAGAGACTAGCAGTTAACTTGGCTTTGCATATCCTTGTTTGTCTCCGCAAGCCCATGAGGTAGAACATGTAAAAAAAAACCGTTTACAGACAAGGCACCTGGCTCCCTACAGCAAAAGCACTTGTTAAGGGTCACACAGGGTGGGATGCAACACCTGTGAGCACTTTACCCAGAGTCTTTAAATATAACTAATGTATTTGACTTCATATGTACACATCTGACAGCCTTTGCATGCTACAAAGAACTGGGAGCAGGGGTCAGTTGTGGATCCATGGGACGAACCCCCAAGCTACAAGATCCTCCATAAAAGGAACCAGGCCGCTCTGACTTGGTTCGGCTTTGCTCTAGGAAGCCAAAGGTCCGGGGTTTGATTCCTAGTCAGGACACGTGCCTGGGTTGCAGGTTCTGTACCCTATTGGGGCACATATTGAGAGGCAACAGATTGATGTTTCTCTCTGGCATCTATGTTGCTCTCCCTTTCTCTCTCTAAAAGTAAATGAGAATATTGAATTAAAAAAGGAAGAAGAGATTGGTATCAAATGAGATCATGGGATGGGAAAATTTTTCCAAGTGAAGAATTTTATTAGTAGTAGTAGTAACAGCTACTACATCGTAAGTCCCTACTTAAGTTCTAATGCAGTTTTACTCAACTCCATTAATTTTTAAAATACGGATTTTGGGACCCGGAGTCAGAGGCTCCGCAGGGTGGTGGGAGGATGTCTACCTTTATATTGCTGCGCCCCGGGGGTTTGGACGCTGTAGAGACCGCGCCCCCCCACCCCCCGCGCGGAAACCGCCTCGAAGAAAAAGGCGGTGGCCCTCAGATCGCACCCCCAGGACATGGCCGCGCCAGTGCCAGCCCAGGTCGCCCCCGCCCCCGCCCCCGCCGCCACCCTCCGTTGGATTGCAGGAGCGCGCGCCCAAGCGGACCCGAGCACACCCGAGCTACCCCGAGCGGCGCGCCCCTCCTGCGTGTTGAAATTCAAACGAAGCGAATTCCCTCCGCGCGGTGCGGCACTGGCAGAGAGGTTGAGGCTAGGGTGAGGTGAACTGGGCCGTGCTCCCAGCCTAGGCGAGTCAGAGGTTCCCGGGGCGGGGTCGAACCCTCAACCAACCGGAGCAGTGGAGACTTAAGGAGCTCAGATCCCTTTCTCGAGCCCCACGATGGCTACCGAGGAGTGGTTCGTGGGGCCGCTCCCCGGGGGCACTGGGGAAACGCCACCCTCGGATGACTTGGAACCTGGGGCCCAGCCCTGCGAAGACCTCTCGTGGTCGCCGCCCCCTGGTCGACCTGGGGACGCAGCCCAGGAGGAACCGGAGGACGTTCTGGGGCAGCTGCCCAAGGCCTCCTCCCCTTCTATGCCTTCGCCGGAGCCTCTGGCCCGGGATCCGGGGCCCACACCTTCTCGCTTACCCTTGGACAACATGTTCAGCCCCATCACCGAACAACTCCGCTACCTGCTCAAGAAGGCGGATGATTTCCAAAGCTACTTGCTCTACAGGTGAAGCTGGACAGGGTCCTGGGATCCCCGTGGATAGAGAGACAGAGGGAGGGTGATGGGAAAAGCACGTGGAACACATCAGAGTCGCAAACTTAAAAACATTAGGAGCCAGAGACAGTAAATGAAGCTAGCTGATTCGAAGTCCTATCAGGAAGAGTGATGCGAGATGTGTACCATTTAGGGTTCGGAAGTGTCTGTTATTATGAGGGGACCAGGTTGCCAAATCTCTAGGGCTTCCCCTGGCCCCCCACCCCCAGTTTTTAACTGATGACTTAGGTTTTGGACCCTAGACAAGCTAAATGAAACGTATCTGAGGCCAGATTTGGCCTGCTGGCTACCAGTTTGAGACCCCAAAGAACAATGTCATTCCCAGCCCATGGAAAAAGGGACTCATTCTGGGAGGCTGTTTAAATGCTAGGTTTCTGCAGAGAATTTTGAGTCAAAAATCACTCATGGGATTCAGGTGTCAGCATGTTAACAAGTGTTCCAAATAGTTGTGATGCAAATTGTCCTGGAAAATCCTCTGACAAAGGCCTGGCACTGGGGGGTGGGGGATTGTAACCAGGTCCAGATCAGTGAATAGAATGGGATAAATGGGGGGAGATGAGGGACCCCAGATGAAGGTCCTCTTCTCCCTTCAGCAGGGACCGAGTTCAGAAGGAACAGCTGGCAAAGGCCATGCCCACCTTCTTAAAGATGTGTGAGCCCTACTTTCTGTACCTGGAGGCAGCTGCACGGAGTGTGCCCCCCATCTATGGAGCCTTGCAGGAGCTGGTTCGAAAGGGGGTGTGTGGGGCCATTTTCTTAGACCCCATGCCCCTTTCTTCATCTCTCAGGCTGGGGGTGCGGGAAGGTGGGGGGTGCTCCTGGCAGATCAGCTAACCTTATGATGCTCCCTCTTCCATGCAGCTGTTGGAGATCTCCCAACAGCTGACTCTGCGCCTGGAACAGCTGGTGCTCATGTATGCCTCCTTTGGGTTCGTGGACCTGGAGGAGACAGACCCCTTAAGGTAAAAGGATGGGGGACTGGGATTGGTTGGGGGTAGAGGAGTCCAGGGCACAACCTCCTTCCCTACTCTCCCATCTCCTGACAGCATCTCCTGTTTCTTCTGCGGGAGATTCTCCATCAGTCCTTCCCACGAGGTGTCCATCTTCAGATACTGTGCCCCTGCTGCCTACACCGCCAGCCGCTTCCCACGGTACCTCTATAAGAAGATGCGTTGGAACCTGGAAACTACTCCGGAGCCCAGCAGCCAGGAGCAAGATTCCCATGTGGATTAGTGAGTCCCACTTACCAGAATCAAAGTCCCCACCCCCGGTGTGGAGAGTGCCAATATGGGCCTCTGAACCACCACCAAGGTGTGGAAAGCCAAGCAGGAAATCAAGGACCTTTGAAAGGCCATCCTAACCTTTTAAAAAATTCACCCTCCAATCAAAAATAAAAGTCCTCATCTTAAAAATAGTCTGGCAGGGAGAAAGGGCCTAAGTATTGAGTCACATCCCTATCTGAGAACTTGAAGCAACTTCTGACAAGTTTCTACCTTACCTCCAAAATCAAAGCCCTAAACAGAGGAAACTAGGAAACAGCTTACTCTTAATCGCTGTCTCTTCCCCTCCCAGCTACTTCCTGTGCTATCGAGACACATGGGAAGACACAGGCAAGACTCCGGCCAATTCATGCCCCCAGATTCAGAAGCTGTGGTCTATCGGTCGATGGGTGCCCCTAGGACCAGCTGAGGATGACCTTTATTCTTGGTAGGAGCTAGGGCGATGGCAAGGTGGGCATGGGCTCTGGAGGGTGGGGCAGAACCCCACCAAAGACCATTTACCTCTGCCAACATTGTTTTCCTTGGTAATAAAGATAGAATTTTATTGTGCCATGAAAAACCCACTGAGGTCAAAACTTACTAGCCCTGTTTTACAAAGAAAGAAACAGGTGCTCAGGGAGGTTGTTACCTGCCCAAGGACACACAGCTAGCTAGCCGAGTGATTGGCCAGGTCAGGGATAAGTAGTTCAGCCTCCCAGAACGATTACCCTCTAGGTTTCTCATCAACAAGGAAACCACTTTCCCCCAGAATTTTTCCCACCCCCAGCTGAAACAAAGCATCTTTCAGCCACAGTCTCTCACTCGAGGGGAGAGGCCCCCGAGAAGCAGGAGGCGCTCACGTCCAGGCTTGTCTGTCCCCGGCCCCCAGGATTGTGTGTCCGCAGCCGCCTGGAGACTACCAGCAGCTGCTGACCATCGGCTTCGAGGAGCCGTCGCACATGCTAGCCACCGACCTGCTGGTGCAAATCCTCACGGGCCAGGCAGGCCCGGCCAGGCCCCCGAGCGCGGCCGGCCCCACGGCGTGGGCAGCGCAGGGGTCTTGAACCTGAGAGAGGGTGGGAGCTGGAGCTTGACAGTTCCAAACTCCAGGAGAGGGGACAGGGAGGGGCTCACTCGTTCTTCAAGTGCTCGGCTTCACCTTCTAAGGGGTCAGGCCAAGCCGGTCCGTTCGCACCGGGTCTGGCCTGGCCGCGGGGCCCTGCGTGCGGATACACCAGATTTTTATTAAATAAAAGAAAGAAAAGAGGTCACAGACTCAGCGTCCGCTCGGAGCGTCGCGCCCCTCCTCTAAGGGAGATGAAGCCCCGCCCAATCGCGTCATCTTCTGGGAAATGTAGTTTTTGGTAATAAAACAATGTTCCGTGGACACGCGGACGAGAGCTCTGGGCATGCGCAAAACGTACGTGAAGCAAAAAGGGAAGCATTGGTGCCTGTCAACAACCGGAACTCAGAAAACCGCAAGTTTCGGGTAGCCGGAATATTCAACGCGCGTTGGGAGCTGGGGTTGCGGGGTGGAGTGAAGGAACCCCCCCGGAGTCACGCCCACTCGCATATTTTAACCCGGAAGTGATTTCTTTGTACCATAAAAGACCGTATTTCCCGACGTGCCCCAGGATAAGGTCCCTTAGTTTCCTAAGAGCGAAGGTCAGATTTTCCTCTTCTAGACTGGGGTCCCGGACAAAGTGGGTCGCTGTACCCTACAGTGTGTCCGGGGCGTAGGTGGGATGGAGGAGCTGCAAAGAACTACAACTTTGGATTTCCAAAGCCTCAACCCAACTTTGGACTGGAGGGGAGACCCGGGTTGATACCGTTGAACTCATCTGTCCAGAGCTACGGCGAGCAAGTAGCGGAGCCTGGACCTGAGCTGGGTCCTCCTGATCACAACTGGTCCCTTGCGAGGTGAGGGGTGTCTTTCCTGGCCTTCTGTCACTCAGCTTCAAGTTACGCCCTTTAAACTAAGGAACGCCTTTTGGTCCCCTGCACCCCGGCATTTTCAGAGTCAGTGGAGAGACAAAGAGCCCTGCTTTTATGCTTTGAGCAAAGCCCTCGCTTACCTAATAGTCCCTGGCACATAGTATTCTCGTAAGCCCTGGTTTACAGAACACACAAACGGACGTGAGGGGTGAGTGAAGCGGGATTGGACACCAAAACCGTTGTTCTTGCGGGGAGGGGACTTCTGGTGACAATTTCCGACTGCATCAATAATTTTTTTGGTCCATAGCGCAGGTCTGAATAAATTCAAGGGGATTCTGAAGCTCCCTAATACCGATTTGAGGTAGCCCCTGTGAGATTTTTTTCCAGCTGTAAGTCTATAGACTAGCCTGGTTCAAATAGAAGTAGTATAAAATACGAGTCTTGTAATTTCAAATTTTCTAGTAGTCACATTAAAAAAAGGTCAGCCCTGGCTGGTGTGGCGCAGTAGATTGAGTGCCGGCATGCAAACCAAAGGGTCGCTGGTTTGATTCCCAATCAGGGCACATGCCTGGGTTGCAGGCCAGGTCCCCAGCAGGGGGCTCGCAAGAAGCAACCACACATTGATGTTTCTCTCTCTCTTTCTCCCTCCCTTCCCCTCTGTCTAAAAATAAATAAGACCTTTAAAAAACAAAAACAAAACAGTAACTCCCCATTCCCACTCAGGTAACCTGTAATCTACTTTAAAAAAAAAAAAAAAAAAAAAAAAAGGAGGTCAGCCCTGGCTGGTGTGGCTTAGCGGACTGAGCGCCGGAATACAAAGCAAAGGGTCCTCTATTTATTTCCCAGTTAGGGCACATGCCTGGGTTGCAGGCCAGCTCCCCAGTGCGGGCACGTGAGAGGGAACCACACATTAATGTTTCTCTCCTTCTCTTTCTCCCTCCCTTCCCCTCTCTCTAAAAAGAAATAATTTTTAAAATTACAAAATAAAAAGATGAAAAAGCAATGAGAGAAAAAGTTGAAAAAGGAGATCAGACTAATTTTAGTGATTTTTATTTAACACAGTATCTCCAAAATATTATTTCAATATATAATCAATGTAAGAAATTAATGAGCTATCCCCCCTCCCTTTTTTTGGTACTAAGCCTATGAAAGCTGGTATTTTACACTTAAACAGTACATCTCAATTCAGACTAGCCACATGTAACTTTAAACTGTCTCCCTTAAGACATCCACGGGCCACTTAAGACTCAAGTGATGGCAGTGCTGGGAGAGGAAGGAAACAGTCTTGATTTCCTGGGTCCTGTCTACACCCATGATTCCCCAACTTTAGTGTCCCTGAGAGTCCCATGGAAGTTTTGATCATTAAGTCTGGGACATGGCCCAAGAATGTGTTTTGAACAAGTTCCTAAGCAATGCTGGTGCCGCTGGTCCAAGCAACACACTTTGAGAACTACCAGCCTACATCCACATCATGGCTCTCAAACTTGGCTCCGTGTTAGAAGCACCTGGGAAACTTTACTGGGAAGGGTGCCCCAGGTGATTTTAATTTGCAGGAAAGTTCGAGAAAGCAGGTCTGCACTTAAGCCACCCTGTCAGCTCTTCTCATGCTTAGTTCTTGGCGGCCCTGCTGGGAATTAAGAACTGGCTCTGGGTGTTTCCATTTCCACCTTGGCAGTGCTGACTTTTCTGCCTTTCTCTCCAGCCTCCCAGAGTCAAGGTCAAAGTATGTTGTCCGTGTGCCGATGATGGGGTTGGGTAGCGGGCTCAGCTGCTGTTGGGGTGCAATGCTGTGTGAGCAAGCATTCTTCTTTATTAGCCATTTCTTGTCCCTATGCAGGTTCCAGCCTGTTACTGGACCCAGGGTATAGAGTTGGACAAATCCAGGAGTTTTAAACAATGATTCTAAAATGTTTCCTGGGTCTCAATGTTTTCTGGGTCTCACTGCACCTTTAAGAAGCTGGTACACTAAAACCACAGAATATAACTGCAGACATACAATTTTACAACGTGGGGTGTTCACAGGTCTTGAACCCCTTGCCTTGGGACAGATAATTAAGGAGAGTTTGCTAATTGACAGCCACAAGCCCTATTGTAGACAGGTGTTGCTTGCAGCCTCCTTTTGCACCCCCCACCCCACTTCAATTTCAAGTTTTCTAAATAGTCACAATCACTTAAGTTTAGTAGATTTCTTTTGGAAAGCAGAAGCTCTAGCACCACTTAACTCATAACTCACTCATTGGTAGCACTGCTGATACGGAGGAACACTTACTTGCCCGTTAAAAGGAGGCATGTTTTCAAGCACACCTCACCTCTCTCCTCAGTATTTGCTTGGGGCCCCAGGCACCTAAGGTTTGCAATCACTGGGCAGATTATAAGTGGCCTTGTGTGCCCGGCTAAGGAGGTTTGGTCGTTTTGGGGATTTTTTTTTTCCAGCTATTGTTTACAACCCAGGGGCAGAAACAACCCCTTATCACCTCTGTCTAGCCAGCGCCTAGCGCGGGGCACACCGTTGGCACCAATAAATGTTGACAAGTCTGGAAAGGAGGGCCTGAGGTCATTGATCAAACGCCTCAGTGTGCACCCGCGCCACCAGGGGGCATTAGGACCCGGACACGGCCGGGGGAGACCGGCAGCCCCGGAAAAGGACGTTAAGGGCACTTTTTGCATTCCGTCGGCGCCTCCTGCGGCTTTCTCCTCCGCTCGCCGCGCTCTTGCCCCACCCGAGACCGAAAGGACCCAAAAGAAAACAGCCCACACTGCCCAGAAAGAAGACAGACTTTATTGGGGAGTGGGGACAGCTGAGGCGGTGACCCCGGTCCTCTGACAGTCAATGCCGGAGGGAGAGGCTAGCTTGGTTTGCAGTTAGGTGGAGAAGGGCTGGACAGTTTCACTGGCTGGGTGGGGAATAACAGTTTTATAGAGAAACTGGTCAATTTCACAAAGCAAAGTTAAGGACGGGCTGGTAGAGTTCATCTTCCCCGGCGCAGACCTCCGGCCCCTCTCCAGGACTCCTGCTTTTCCGGAGGGCACTGCTGGGCGCCCCGTCCTCTGCCGGGCCATGTTACTTCCGGCCGGGGATCCCAGCCCGCTCTAACCTCAAGGCTTCCGTTCCTCCTGGGAAAAGGGGGTCAGTCGGGACACCCAGGCGTAGCGTGGGGCTGTTAGGCCCCAAGACCACCGCCTCCTCATCACCCCTGAGCCGCGCCTGGGACTTTGTGTCCTAGCCCAGAGTAACTTCCCAGAAGCGCGGGGATGCACTTTCCCTGGCCCAGCGTCCTGGCGCCGTGGGGCCGCGCGTTTGTAGGGGGCGGGGGGAGGGGTAGCGACAAGCGCCTGAGGTGAGAGGGAAAAGGGGGTCCCACCTGCTCCAGGCCGTTCTCCGAAGCCTTTCTGCGGGGAGGCCAGATCACTGCCAGCTTTCCATCGCCCCTGATCGCTGCGGAGAAAAGACACTCAGCCGGGGTCTTTCCTCCTCTCACCAGCTGGAGGTGGCCGGGGCAAAGGAGGCCAGCCCCACCCCTTAAACACACACAGGCATTCACCCCCCACCACCTCCCCCTGGAAGCCTCCATTCTGCGGGAAGAGGGAAGTAAACCCAGAGTGGGGAGGTAGGAACCCGAAAATTTCAGGACGATGCAGGAGTCGCAGAACCCAGGCAGAGTTCCCTGGGACCCAACAAAAAGGAAGACACCTGGAATCCTCTCTTCCCCTATCACGAGCCTAGGTGAGGTGTATCTGGGAGCTGACCACTCCGAATGGGGAGTGGAGAACAGAGAGTGGGCGGCCCAGAAGGGGTGAACAGGGAACGGAAAGTTGAGACGGAGCACCAGGTATCGGAACCAGGGGAACCCCCGGAGGGCCAGAAGAGGGGCCACTGGAGTTGGGAAGTTGGAAAGGGGGGCCCCGGCGTCCCTGCCCGGGTAGCTTACCCATTAGGCTCGGCGCGGGCTCCTTGATTTCCGCGGTGCCATAGACACTAAGTCTCTGGCGCTGCAGTTCCCGCTCGCGCTCCTGCGCCTCGCGCACTTCCAGCTCCAGCAGCGACGGCGCGATGGGAGGCGGGGCGCGGGCCAGCACGGGAAATCGGCCCTGCACGGCCGAACGCGGCCGGCTTCCATGCTCCAGTAGCCGCTGAGGCCCCGCGCCGCCCTCAGACGCCGGTGAGAAGCCGCACCCACCAGCTGCCTCGAAGAAGCGCTTGAGCTCGCCCAGCGGCTGCGGAGGCGGCCGGGCGCTCGGCTCCGGGGTCGCGGGGCGCGCCAGCGCCGCCTGCCGGTGGGCCTCCCGCTCGATGTCTCGCTGCATCTGCGCGCCCGCCCGCGCGCGCTCCAACGCACGCGGGAGCGCGGGGCCCGGACCTGGCAGGCTGAGCACCGGCCTCAAACGCAGCTCGACGAGTTCACGGCCCGCGCGACCTGGGCTCAGGCCCCGGCTCCGGCGCAGACTCTCCTCGCGTTCGCAGCTGCGGCGGATTTCGCGCTCGATGGGCGTCTCCATGAGCGGCTATTCTGGGACTGTTGGGAGGGTCTCAAGGAGCAGAGAAAAACGCTGCTAAGGGGCTTCTAGGTCTGATCCGGAGGAGGAAGTCTAGGGATCCTGAGCGGGACACTTCCCGGGACCCCGGTGCTTCGCGCTCCGAATGGCTCGGAGTCGCCTCTGCCTGACCCAGGAGTCTTAAAGCTCTCTGGTGGGCACGGCCGCGTGAGCTCTGCGTCCTGCCCGGCTAATGGCTCGAGCACTTAGCTATCTTGCTTGGGGGTCTCCGCGTCCGTGCAGAGGACACGGGTACCTCGCCCCCTGTCCTGGAGCCCTAGGTTACCTGCCCTGCGACACGCCCAGGGACTTCGCTGTCTGACCCCGGGGGCTCTGGGCCCCGCTCTTCGGGCGACCCCAGGGCTCCACTCTCCGGCCCGGGGGCCTCGGTGTCCGGGGTTGAGAGCAGCTCGAAAACCTGAGTTTCTGGAGCCGGAGTTGTGATGCCCACAGCTGGACACAGTGCCCTGCGCGGCACCTGTGGCCTCGGTCGCCGCCCGCGGGTTCCAGGGCGTCACCCGCACCGGCCGTGTCTCTGACCCAACCCCTGGCCTCCAAGAACGGCCCCCGCGGGCAGGGCCGGGCACCGCCCCCTGCACCTGCCCGGAGGACTCGGTCCCCGCCCTGGCCACGCCCTCGGGGCGGGCGCGCCTCGACTGGGCACCGGATTTTGTCCACTGGCGTGTTTCGGGTCAGTTCAGGGCACCGGACTTTCCTAGATTCGGTCCACTACCTGGTGGGGCCAGTCTGGGGGCCGTCTCACACCCTGAACGCCAGTCTGGCACCTTTTCATCTCCATATGCCTGTTATTGCCAGGAGGCGTAGCCCCAGCCACGAGCCGGGCTGGGCCTCTGAGCCACAGGTCCTCCGGTAGGGGTATCCCCGGAAGACATCATTCTGGGGCCTTGCCAGTCCCGCCCAGCCGCCGGTGCCAGAAGGCAGCGACGCCCCGGCCTCCAGGCTGTCCATCCACGTTCCACCCCTGCGGCGCACAGCTCGGGCTGGAGGGGGCGCCTGGAGCATGGGCGCCAAGTACCTGGGCTCAGCGAGGATTCCAGCGGTGGCCACCGCTAGCGCCAAGTCCAGAGGCCGCTTCCTTTGACCCTCTCCCGGAAAAGTCTGCGAGGTGTCCTCGGCCAAGTGCACGCCCAGATTGAGGGAAGAGGGAGGAACAGGTACAGCGCGCTTAGAGTTCAGCGGAGTGACTGCGTTATTTAGAAAGGCGGTCACCTTGGGCTCAGGCAGGTCGAAAGGCCCAGAGTGGGATCCAGGCTTGCAGGAGATAGTAGCTCTCTGCAGCTGGGGCCAGACCCTGGCGCTCCCCATGAGAGACCCACCCGAGGACATTGTCCACTGTCTTCCTCAAGGCTTTCTCCAAATCTCCCTACTGCCCCTGACAATTCTAGGGTGATTGGGAAGAAAGCTAGAATTACCGAGAAAAAGTGGTGGGGCTATGCAGCCTCAGAAACCCCCATTAATCCAACACTGACCATTTCTTTCCCCAACTCTGCCTACCCTTGTGACTCCCCGCTCTTTCCATCCTCTCATCCATCAATCTCCTGGGTCCTGATCTCACACTGCTGAGCTCTTCCCTCTGACCATCTGACCTCCTGCCTCCCTCTGATTCCATTGACTTAATTGGAATCAGGCTCACCTGGGTTCATACCGCTCATAACCTGAGCAAGTTACCAGCCTTCTCCAAGGCTCAGGGTTTTTGTTTGTTTGTTTGTTTTTGTTTTTGTTTTTTAAGGCTCAGTTTTCTTGTCTGTAACATAAGGATAGTAGTGCCTGCTCGCTTGGGAGTTGGTGAAGACTGAAGCTGTATTTCTGGGAAGAGTTGTCTCTAGTGTGGCCTTTCCATTTTGTCACCTCTGGCCCTCCTCCAGTCATGCCAACCCAGGTCTGGGTCCCACCATCCCACGGAGCCTCCTCCATCCAAGGACGCTGATGACCTCCACTTGTCAGACCCAGCCACTGGCTCCTCTCTGACTTTCTCTCCATTAGCTCCTTCATCTCCAGGGACACAACCCTCTCCTGGTTTTCTTCCTGCCTCCAGAGCACCCCTTTTCAGACTTCTGTTCACCTGCATCAACAGGTTTTCTTCCCCTCTGGATTCCATTGGAGTTGGCTGATGGGGGAGAGGAGAATGAGGTCAGCATCTCTATCCCATGTGCCCTCAGTTGGATGCAGTTGGCTGTGTCCCTCCACCGTAGGTGGCAGCTCTGCATAGCAATCTCTCTCTCTCTCCCTCCCACCCCCACAAGGCCAAGGGGTGCCAAGGGGTGGTAACTGCTCCCAGCTGTTACTAACCCAGGGTGTGCACAATGCTTTGATTGTTTCCCTTCACCTTTGTAAACTGACTCTATTAAGTTCTCATCCATTGCTCAATTTGAGCACACAATCTCTTTCCTGCCAACACTGGGACCCTGACAGATCCCAATCTCATGCTTTAAACACCATCACTATGCTGATGTCTCTGAAATTTACATCTCTAGCCCTGACTTCTCTCCAGAGTTTTGGACTTATATCCAAAAATAGTCTCATGTCTAATAGATGTGTCAAACTGAACAGTTGCAAAACTGAACTCTTGGTTTCCTCCAACTCTACTCCTCCTCACTAGGTATGGCAACTCACCCATCAGGTTTTCATGCCCAAAACCTAGGTGTCAGCCTGATTTTCTGTCTTCCTCAGCCCCGCACCCTCCGATCCATCTGGATTGGATAGCTGTTGGATCTTTTGGTCCTGCCTCCAAAGCATTCTGAATTTGTCCCTTCCCTCCACCCTCATCCCAGTCACTTCACCTTCCTCCAGTGCCTCCCCACCAAACTTAGAAGAAAAATCCAAATTCCCTACCGCTGCCCAAAGGCTCTGCCTACTTCCCAGACCTCACCTTGTAACAATCCCTCCCTCGATCACTCCTTCATTCCATCTTTCGTGCTTCCCTCAAACCACCCACTGTATTCCCACCTCAGGGCCTTTCCACCTCTCTTTCCTTCTTCCTGGAATGACATTATATGGCCGGCTTCTACTTATTCAGGTCTGGACTCAAATGTCACTTCTTCAGAAAAGCAGTCCCTGATCATCTAGCCTACATCACCCACAGCCCTCCTCCATAACTCTATCCCTGCTGTTTTCTGTAACTCACCCTATTCTGCAGTTATCACCAATCACCTTATTCATTTATTTGTATATTATCTATCTCACCCCACTAGAAAGTGAGTTGCATTACAGCATCATTGGTTTGTCTTACTCTCCTCTATCCCCAACTCCCCCGTGCCTAGAACAGTGCCTGACGCAAAACAGCTGCTTAAGAATTATTATTGTAGGATACTTACTAGGCCTACGTCAATGTTGGGAATACAGAAATAAATCAGACTTGAAAGTTACAGTTAAGTTTGAGAGACAGACACAATTATAAACAGAACAGTCTTGCCTCAGTGTGGAATCCAGGACAATGGTACAAAGGGAAGCCTATATACTATACATTTCAATCATTAACAGTTATAAACTTGCTGACCTAAAAATAAAGGCCAACCAAAGTGAGAGACAACAAGCATTTACTTGAGATCCAAAAGAATAGCTATTTGGGAAGCACTGATTCAGGCAGAAATCCAAACAGTGTTCCAATTAGGAGACAAAGTCAAAGGATATTTGTGAGAAAGAGAAGGGGAACAATTATACCAATAGAAGAAAAGCATTTCTATTGGTGGGTGAGCTTAACTCAGTGATGCTAATTCTAAACAATGTTTTAAAATTTCAGCCTGGTAGTCATTGGTCCTGTAGTCATATTTCTGCTTTCTTGTTATCTATGCAAACATTCCTTTAGGGCGCAGTGTTGCTTTAGGCCTAGTCCAAAGGTTATTTTGCCCTGTTTTAACATTCCAAAGGAGTGAGGGAAAAAGATGTGCAAGGCAGTTCCTTCAGAATGGCAGCTCTGGCTCCATTTTAAAAGTGGCTTCATTTATATTGTTGTTGTTATTATTATATTTACAAAATCAAACTACAAGCAATTAAATGAAATATATTCTTGCCTCCAAAAGGTGGGAACAACCTGCATGTTCATTAACAGATGAATGGATAAATAAAATGTGATCTATCCACACAGTGGAATATTATTCACCCATAAAAAGGAATAAAGCATTTATTCATACTAAAACATTGTGTTGAGTGAAAGAAGCCAGACACGAAAGGCCATGTGTTATATGATTCCATTGACATTAAGTTTCCAGAACAGGCAAATCCATAGAAACAGAAAGCAGATTGGTAGCTGCCAGGGGCTGGGGGCGGGGGGAGGGGAGTGACTACTCCTGGGGACAGGATTTCCTTTGGGGTGATAAAAAGTCCCAGAACTAGGTAGTGGCAAAAGTTGTATAACATTGTGAATGTACGAAATGCTACTAATGATAAATTTTATGTGTATTTTACCACAATTAAAAGACAATTTAAAAAATATGTTCTCTCTTCCTATCATAGCAAGCATATTTTCAGAATGACCTAGAAGGCCAGTTTAATTGACAACATTTTGAATCCCTAGGAGTTTTGTACTAGAATGTGGGGTACAGGGAAAGCGCAGTCCTCAGTCTGGCCCCCTTTGCCTCACACCTCCAATTCTGCCCTGCATAGCAAGGAGCTTTGTTCATGCACCTGGGGACCCGGTCCTATATGTCCAAGTTCTTTCCTCGCCCCTCTCCCAACAGCTGTCCTTGGCCCCTTCTGGGGCGGGGGAGGCGGCAGGGTGAGGCACACCCTGGCTGCATGGTCTGCCCTCAGGAAACCGAAAGCCTTCTCAGTGAGCTCAAGACCACTGGGGCAGGGAATTCTGGGGTCCTAAGTACCCAGAGTAGGATCTAAAAGAGGAAGCTGCAGGACGTAGGTGGGCCCCTCCCCTTTGCCCCATGGGAATGTCTCAGCTGGAGTGTGTCTCTAAAGCAGGGAATGCAGGGCAAGGACCTTTCTCCTTGAGGCTCCTGTCTTGGAATTGCACAGTTGTGACCAAGGCTGTGATGGGGGAAGCCCTGGAGACTATGGGACACCAGCTTGGAAAGTAGGTGATTTCCCCAAGGAGTAGTTAAATGAAACATGAAGTCAGCTGAGAAAAGGGCTACTGGCACTTTAAGAATGGCGTTGGGGCTCAAAACAAGAGATCCTTAAGGTCTGGGTGGGAAGTTCTCTGGATCTTCCTCATCAGGACCTCACCCCATTACAGCATCTAAGGGTTCAAGATCCTGAAGGCCACTTGGTCTAATTCGCCCACTTCACAAAAGGGGAAACTGGGGCCTAGAAACCTGGGGCGAGTTGCCTACAGTTACCCAGAGCCCAGGTCTTCTGGTTCCTGTGGTGTTCAGAATCCTATGGCTGCATCAGTCCCTCCCTCCCCACCCCAGAGCCAGGGTCCCAGAAGGGAGGGCAGTAAATAGTTTGTAAGAGTAGCCAGCATGTATGGTGTACAACGATGCTCACATGCATGTGGGGGGCCCTTGGTGGATATGCTGGACATGAGGTGTCTGTTGTGCCAAGTAGCACTGCCGTTCTCTGGGGTGGGGCGGTTCTTGACTCCCCACTCGGGTCCACATGCCCCACCACGCATGTGAGAGTGTATTTACCAGGAGGCAGCCGAGTGCAGCAAGGAGGCCAGTGACTGGTAAATAATTTATCAGGACAGCTGATAGTACCTCCCCAGAACTGCCCGCCAGCCCCCAGCCCCCCTCGCCCCATGCACCTCCCGCCTCCCAGCCCAAACCAGCTGGACCAGCTCTCCCGGTGCCTGACCGCAGCCCCCCCCTCCTGCCAGCCAAGTCACAGCCTCCAGGGCACCTTCGGGCGGGCAAGCGGGTGGTGGGTCCTGATCTCTCGGAGACCAGAACGTGGGATTCGGGGCAGAGATGGCCCTGCAGAGCCAGGTGTGGTCTCCGGCCACACCCATGTAAGTGTCCAGGGTCAGGGGGGCAGGTGGGCAGGGCCTGGGAGGGGTTCATGGGGGACACAGGCCTTTCCACTGGGGTGAGAGCCCTGGGTGGCCTCTCCTAAGAGGACCAGGGGGAGTGGAGGGACACCAGCAACCAAACTGGAAGGCTCTTTGATGCCCCCCTCCCCAGAGAGTCAGATGAGAGAAATGAACCCCAACCCCCTTCTTTTTGGGAATTTTCCGCTGGTAGGCTTCAAGCCCAAAGTCCAGCCTGGGGGTGGGGCTATAAAGGGAGGGGTGGGGGGGCAGGGAATGACAGGGCCCCGCACTCCGCATTTTGCCTCTAGGAACTCCCCTCAGCATCTAGGGTGGGAGGAAATGCTTGAAATCCAGGAGAAAAAGTTAATAGCTCCCACACTGGGAAAGATGATGGCAAAATTGAAGTGATCACTTGCTTAATGAAAAGGCCACCAACTGTTCCTGGTGGCAAAAGGCCACGGCTATGAACACCGTTCTCGTAGAGTTAGAGATAAACAATACGGAATGCATGTACAGAGTGTTTTAATATTTGAAGTGTGAGGGCCTTTTAAAGGAGGAGGATGAGGCTTCAGAGGTTTGTAAAAACTTCTGGAAAATGGGCTACCCACAGGGACCCCAATTTGGTTTCCTCACTCTTTTGGGTCCCCCATTACATTATTCACCAACTACAAACTGGGTTGCCTAGCAACGGGAACCCGATCCCCCCCAGCAAGGAAGAGGCCAGGAGATTACATCTTGGGGATGGGACAGCAGAGGGGGCACTTCAGCCCTCCCTCAGGGGCAAATCTCTTTAGCAGGGGGTCTGGCCTTCCTGTAAAGCATGACTTCAGCCCCCTGCCCCAACCAAAATCACAGATCCCCCCAGGTGATCTCTGGCCTCTTGGCTGCCAAGACAGGATGCCTGTCCCCCTCCCCACCCCAGCCCTGAGTTTGTAGTGTTTGGGGCCTGAAAGCTTCCAATTCCAGTCCTGACTTAGTGACCTTGGACAAGTCTTTTTGCTACTTCTTGGAGCCTCAGTTTCCTTATCTATAAAATGGGGACAAGAAATACTACTTACCTCCTAGGATCTTTGGGTAAAGCATTGCACAGTGCCTGGCACATGGTATGCACTGTCCAATGGTTGGCTGATTTTATTCTCAGTTGGAATGTCAACTCAGCAATGAGTCAACTACAGTGTCTCAAGATCAGGGCAGGGAGGGGGAGGTGGAGGTCGCTGTGGCAGCCTGTTGGAAGCCCCACAGAGCACTTAGAGCACTATATATAGTAAGTGCTAAATATGCACTGATATTATAGCTGCATGGTGTGGCCAGAGAAGATCTGGGAGGCCCTGCTTGAGTTTGGGCAACAAAGCTAATACTCACCCAATAGTGTTAGTGCTCAAATTAATAAACGTTTGAGAGCTTACACTGTGCGCACTCAGGGCTAAGTGTCCAGGGCCACAGGCAGAGAGATATATCCTTCTAGATAGTGGCCTGTGAAGCACCTGCATATAGTTGGTGCTCAACATGTGTCCACGATGATAGGTTGATAGAGCGATGACTGTCTACCAAGCACCTTACAGTACTACACTCAGCTTCCAGTTTCCAGAGGGAGCCCAGATGGGCCAGGAGAGGCCCTGGAGGCTGTGAAGCAGGGTCCTGGGATGCTGCAAGGAGGACGATCATGGGAGTATCTCAGGTTAAACCTTAAATGGGAAATCCTCCTCTCCTCCTTTCAGCTCAGAGTCCAAGGCTAGGCAGCATGACTTGGTGACCCTTGCCCCCTGGGGGGGGGTGGCAGGTGGAGAAGGCAGCTCTGGAGTTACCGTGGCAATGATGAGTGTCCACAGTGGTGGGATGGACACTTTTCTCCCCAGGCTCCCTCACCCCGAGAGCTTAAGGAATCCTGGGTAGGAGCCAAACTCCAGAGAGGGTTTGGAAGTGGAAAGAGACACAGCCTGTTGGGGGTCTGGTAAGATTTGAGAGTTTCTGTAGGATGGACTGCGAATGTTGATTATAACTAGTCATAAGTACTATTAACCATGGGAATTATTAAAGGTATTTTGAGTAATAAACTGTGCTACCATTTTTGGAATACTATGTCCTAGGTTTTTTTTCTGCACGGATACTTGTTAGGGCATCTCTCTGCAAGGTCAGGGTCAAGCTATCCAGGCCCATTATACAGATGAGGAAACTGAGGCTCGGAAAGGTGATGTCAGACCTAGGAAGGGCTTTAGCTCACCTGTCATGGTCTCTGCTCCTGTCTCCTCACAGAACCCCTACCCTTTGCCCCAACTCTCCCAGGTGCGAAGGGAAAATAGAGGAAATTCTGAGCTCTAGTTGCTTCCCAAGCAGCTCAGGGATCTTGGCTCAGAGAGGGGCATTTAAGAGGTCGGTCCGCTGAGGGTGGGGCCGTGAGAGCCCCCCTCCGAAGCCTATGCCCTCTCCCTACAGGCCCATGGCCGAGAGCTCCCTCTACCGGCAGCGACTGGAGGTCATCGCGGTAAGTGTTGCCCTCCCCGCGCGCCCCGCCCAGCGCCCTAGGCAACTCCAGCTTTGCCCCAGGCCTCTTTCTCGCCTCCCTCCAATCCCGGGGAGATGGTCTGGCGTTATTAAGTGGGGGAGCAGCACCCTCAGCTCCATCCCTTCCTGGGGCGCCCCGCCTAAATCCTCAGGTCGCTCCACTCCCCAGTTCCTCTGTCTGGTCACCGCCACCCCCAAAATGGTGAGACTGAGAACCCTCCCGCCCCTCGCTTCCAGAATCTGCATCATCCGGCGCTGCGTTCCCGAATCCCGACCTCTTCCAAACATGCCATGTGTTAACCCCATTTCTCAGGCCCCCATCTTACTAACCTTCACCTCTCTGAACCCCCCCATATCTAAATGTTCATCTCTTTGGACACCAACCGTCTGACCCCCATATGTGTACCCCATCTTTCTAAAGCCCCATCTCACTAACCCCATCTCTCTGTCCCCCACTTCTGCACCTCCATTTCTCTGGATTCTATCTCCACAGCCCGGTCTCGCCGAACCCCCATGACTGCACCTCCACTCCGGACCCCCACCTTATTACCCCCTCCCTTTGATCCTCCTTTTCGGACCGCCATCTCTGAACCCCGTCTCTCTTAACCCCATATCTCAGGCCCCCACAGCTCTTTCGCCCCGCTAGATGCCCATTCCACGGTTCGCCCTGCCACCCAGTGGCAGACCCCCCCGACTCGGTGAGGGCCAGGCCTCCGCAGAATCCGGGGCGCGGCAGGCCCCGCCCCCGCCCGCCCCGCCCCCGCCGCTGCTGAGTCAGCGCCTCCGCAGCCCCCTCCCCGCCCGGGCCCCGACGTGCGCCCCACAGCCCTGCAGCCCCGGGAGCCCCCGGGAGTTGCGCCGCGAACCCCGCGGAGGCGGGAGGGCGGAGAGGGAGGCAGCAGCCCCGCCCGGCCGGCGGCAGCTCGGTCCTCCGTGCGCAGGAGAAGCGGCGGCTGCAGGAGGAGATCCGGGCAGCGCGCGGGGAGCTGGAGGAAGAGAAGCTCCGCGTGGAGCGGCTCAAGGTTGGTGGCAAGTGGGGGCGCCTGCCCAGCCTGGGCCAGGAAGTGGGGGCGGGGGTTGTGCCTGTGAGAGTCTGTTCGCAGGACCACAGGCGCCTCTGTCTAATTATGGGGGAGCAGCTGGAAGCACTGGTCCCAGCTTTGGGGGTGGTCGTCTTTCCCTGTTTGCAAGTGTGGGTGGTGATGGTGCTGGGGATATTCGATCCGCTTTTGGGACCAGTATGGGGACAATGAAGGTGCCGTCCAACTTTGGGGTAGGGAGGAGCCAAGAGAGACATTAATTTCACCTTTGGGGATGTATGTCCCATCCTGGAAGGGTGGTGGAGGTTGATGCATGTTGTTTCCAGCCTGGGGAAGCTGTGCGCTGGTAATGGGATGTCTGTCCCACCTAGCAGTGTTGAGGGGGGCAATGAGGGCATGTATCCCAGCCTGAGGGAGAACTGTCTGCCCCACCTGGGTGACTGTGGGGCTATAAGAAATCTGCCCAGCCTGTCGGGAGACAGGGGAGAGTGAGGGTGGGGGGGGACCGGCATAGGGCAGCTGGATCCCCTTTCCGTGCCCAGAGAAAGTCTCTCCGGGAGCGGTGGCTAATGGATGGAGCTGAGGGACATGAGGGACCAGAGGACGCCATGCTGCAGGACCCTCAGTCCCCTGAGGGCCAGGCACAGGCCCGCATCCGGAACCTGGAAGACAGCTTGTTCACGTGAGTGGGGTCTCTGCCGCGGCCTTGGCCCCTGCCTGCCCAGGCCAGCACCCTGGGCCCACTCCAAGGAGGTGGCAAATTGAGACGGGAGAGAGGGGGTGTGGGGGATCCATTGAGCCTGGGGACTTGGCTCCCAGCAGCCTTTGTTTCTTCCAGACTCCAATCTCAGCTGCAGCTGTTGCAAAGTGCGTCCACAGGTGCCCAACACAAGCCCGCTGGCAGGCCCACCTGGCGCAGACAGGTGAGGAGGAGCAAAGGGCTGGGGATCAGTGTAGCCACAGGGCGCCAAGCAGAACCTCTCTACAAGCACAGTTTAGATGCTTCGTCTTCTGCTAGTTCTTTGCTCTGTGGTCTTGGGCAAGCCTCTTTTCTTACCCAACTGTCAGTTTCCCTGTCTCTGAAAAGAAAATACCAGCACATACCTGGAAGAGGTGTGAGGGAGGGCCCACAAGGCACAGCGTAGCAGCAGGAACTGGCATCATGGAATGTTTTGATACATAGTTGCTAGTGTGGTACCAATGAGGAAGGAGGGCAGAAAATGTGGGACAGTGCTGATGGAATTCGGCCTTAAATGTAGAAACAGATCACCATTAGATGGCCTTGGGATCTGAAGCATCTATACAGGTTTGGGGATTTTTGTTTTCAGTTTGGTAATGACTTTATTAAGATAGAATCCGCACACAGGATTTTGAAAAGTAGGATACTTTACAGTAAAATCTGACTGTCCAGATTGTCCCTGGCATCCAAAAATCCAGCCACATTTGTGCCTAGACAGTGAGCTGTGGGTTTTCCACAGTCCCCACCTTTCCTTGATACTTCTCTTAGCTCCCAGGTACCTGTCACAGGACAGAGCAGAGACCTGTTCATTGGCATGGGAAGCACTTGTTGGGTTTTTTTTTATAAGCCGGAAGCTCCTTTCCAGAAATGCACAAGGTGTGCTTCTTGGCCCAAGGTAGCTCACAGTCCAGATGAGCTGGGGTGCAAAGCGTCTGTGAGGCGGGGAGCCCTGGGCATGGGGAAGCTCAGAGGAAGCACCTTAGGGAGGTTGAAGATTCAGGGAAGGCTCCCCGGAGGCAGCAACATCCCTGCTGAACCTGGGTCCGAGCGAGGCACAAGGGGAAGAGGAACCTCAGGCAGAGGACAGCCTCTGCAAGGGCATGGGCGCCAGGAAGGGGCGGTTAGGAGGAGAGAACTGTGAGGAAATCCATGGAGCTCGGCCCGGGCTGTCCCCGCTCCCCTCCCTGAGCCCATCTTCCTCTCGCTGCCTTCTTCACTCCGCTCCAGCCGCACTGACCCCCCTTTCTGTTCCTTGAACTCGTCTCGCTTATTGCAGCCTCAGGGTCTTTGTGTTTGCTGTCCCTCTGCCTGGAATACCCTTCCCTACTTCTTGACTCAAGGCTGGCTCCTCTTCTTCTTTAGGTCTCTGTTCAATGTCACCTCCTCCCAGAGGCCCTCCTGTATCATATATCTGAAGGAGGCACCCCATCACCTCTCAGGGGCCCTGCAACCCCTCATCCTGCTTTTTTTTTCTGCCATAGTCCTTCTCACTTCCTGACATACATCTATTTAATTTTTTACTTATTTGTTTATATTTATGACCCCATTGGAATTATGTCCCCCCGCCAACCTGAAGTCACCGCCTCCCAGCAGTGACATCACTGGCAAGCCAGACTGCTCTGGACCGCACCATTGAAGGGCCAGACATGCTGGGCTGGGGCCCTGTGGGCAGCTGGAGATACATTACCAGCCCTGGGGTCAAACCCCATCAGCAGCCAAAGCCCCTGGAAGATGACGACCCACCCCCCTCAAGTGCCTTGGAAGCCAGAGGACAGGTCATCAACGTGCCATCACCTCTGGCTCAAGCGCCTCATTGTACAGGCAGGAAAACAGGGGCCCAGAGAGGACAGTGCCTCTCCCAAAGTTACACAGCAAGTGCGGGGCAGAATGGGGAAGGACCCAGCTCTCCCGTCTCCCAGTACAGTATTCTGCCCTCCAAGTTTGTTTGGAATGTGTGTTCTAATAGCAAAAAGGCTTAAGTGTCCCTTGGCAACCTCAGTAGCTGGCGATACAGTGCGTCTCCAGTACAGGATATTAGCTGCACGACGCAACTGTGTGCGAGGCACTGGAGCAGAAGGCAGTGAGTTGGGTGAGGAAGGCTGAGGTGCAGTAGAGGGTGTGGTCCTGAAGGTAATCGGGAGCCATTGAGGGTGTTTGAGCAGGGGGAGGGGTGCTGGCGTGCAGGGACTGGAAGTAAAGACACGGGCTGGCCTGACTTTGTCTCTGCCATTCCTGCAGGGTCACCGTCCACTCTCCCAGCCCACTGAGGAGGCAGGTGAGTGTTGGGCCTCTAGGTATAGGGGTCCCAAGAGGAGGGGCCTGAATCTGGGTGGTCTCAACCTCACCTGTCGTGCCCCACCCCCTATTCTCCCCTGACTTCCCCAGGCCAGACTGATCTGAACAAGAGAGCCTCCCTGCCACCCGGACCAGTGGGCACGTCCCTGGAGTACCTGTCCGAGCCCAGAGATGAGGTTGTTGGGATTCTGCCAGCCTCGAGGCGGGTCCCTGGGGCAGCAGGAGCCTCCTCAGAAGCCAATGGCCCGTGCCCCAGCCCCAGCCCCACTCCGGAGCAGGAGCAGAGTGAGGGGGTGACAGCGTTGGAAGGAGGGGTGGGTGAGGCCAAAGGAGGAGGCGTGGTAAACGTGGTGTGGGAGGGGCTGAGGGCCACAGAGGACTGTGCCAGGGAAGCCACGGGCCCAGAGCTGGAGGCTAAGGTGGAGGAGATGGTGCTGGAAGCCATTGGGGACAGGCTGGAAGCCAACCACCCAGAGCTCCCGTCCTGGGTGAAGGAGGACAGGGGTGTTGTGGAGGTGGTCTGGGAAGGGGTGGGAGGCACAGAGGGCAGTGACTCAGAGGCTGCAGGGGAGACAGGCAGGGGCCCACAGACTGTGCAGACCAGCTCACTGAGGCTCCAGGAGAGACTAGAGGGAACAGCTTCTGGAGAAGGGGAAGAGGCACCCAGGGGCAGCCCTGATGGCTTCAGGCAGGGGGGCTCGGGAGGAGAGGAGGGATCCTTCATTTGGGTGGAGAGAGTGACCCTCAGCGAGGAATGGGAGGAACTGCAGGTGGAGGGGTTGGAAGGGCCAAAGGCGCTGGGGAGGGAGGGAGGAGACGAGAGTCCTCTGGGGGTGGAGAGTGGGAGAGGGGAGGAAACCTGGGAAGCGGAGAGGAGACAGGCGGAGGAACCTGTGGGCGTAGGGGAGGAAGGCAGTGAGGAGAAGGTAGGCGCAGAGCAGGGGGGAGCGGAGATGTCACTGGTGGTGGAGAGGAAAGGAATGGAGGAGCCCTTGAAACCAGAGAGGAGAGCTGGTGAGGGAAAGGGGGAGACAGAGAAGGAAGGCAGAGAGGAACCACTGTCAGCAGAAAGCAAGGAAACTGAGGGACCTTTCAGAGCAGAGAGGGAAAGAGGCGAGGAGCCATTGGGCGTGGAGCAGAGGGGAGGTGAGCAAAAGCTGGAGGCCGAGAAAGAGGTTGAGGAACCAGTGGGAGGAGAAAGCAAGGCAGTTGAAGGACCCCTGAGCACAGAGAAGGAAAGAGGTGAGGAAGAGCTCGGCACAGAGAAGACAGTTGAGGAACCGTTGGTTGTAGAGAAGAAAGGAGATGAAAAAAAGCCAGAGGTGATTGAAGAACCACTGACGACAGAGAGAAAGCAGGGTGAGGAATCACTAACAGTAGAGAGAACAGGAGACAAGGAGCCATTGATTGTGGAGAAAAAAGATGAGGAATCACAGAAGGCAGAGAGAACAGGAGGTGTGGCGCCATTGGAGGCAGAGAAGACCCAAGAGGTCAAGGAAGATGTGAGTCTAGAAGAGCAGAGACAGTCAGGAAGAGGAAAAGAAGGTCAGGCAGAGGAGGTGAGTGAGGGAGGGGCTCCCCTAGGGCCCAAGGAAGAGCTAAGGTCAGAGGAGGAAGGACCACAGCAGCCCCCGGGGGCCAAGGAAGAGCAAAAGGCGGAGGAGGAAGGACCACAGCAGCCCCCGGGGGCCAAGGAAGAGCAAAAGGCGGAGGAGGAAGGACCACAGCAGCCCCCGGGGGCCAAGGAAGAGCAAAAGGCGGAGGAGGAAGGACCACAGCAGCCCCCGGGGCCAAGGAAGAGCAAAAGGCGGAGGAGGAAGGACCACAGCAGCCCCCGGGGGCCAAGGAAGAGCAAAAGGCGGAGGAGGAAGGACCACAGCAGCCCCCGGGGGCCAAGGAAGAGCAAAAGGCGGAGGAGGAAGGACCACAGCAGCCCCCGGGGGCCAAGGAAGAGCAAAAGGCGGAGGAGGAAGGACCACAGCAGCCCCCGGGGGCCAAGGAAGAGCAAAAGGCGGAGGAGGAAGGACCACAGCAGCCCCCGGGGGCCAAGGAAGAGCAAAAGGCGGAGGAGGAAGGACCACAGCAGCCCCTGGGGGCCAAGGAAGAGCTAAGGTCAGAGGAGGACGGACCACGGCAGCCCCAGGAGCAGAAGGACTCCCTGGAGAAGGAAGCAGTGAAGCCCCAAACTCCTGCTGAGGGCCGGGACACCTCGGGAGATGCCACCCCCCTCTTAGCAGAGACCCCCGCTCCTGAGCAGCCCACCGAGTGCCAGCCACTGCTTCCAGTGGAGGAGCCCAGGGCCAACCCCAGTGCCCGCCCCGTGCCCACCTATGCACCTGCTCAGCAGCCTGAGCCATCTGCTCCTCCTGAGGGTGAAGAGGCAAGTGGCCCTAAGCAAAAGACGTGCCAGTGTTGTGCGGTGATGTGAGCCTGTGCCCTCCACCCCACGCCTCATTCCTCTCACAGCTACCTCGGCCTCTTGGCATCCAGCAGAGGGTCCCAGACTCAGACAGGGCAAATGAGACTGGCCGTGGCATCTGGGAGCCGGCTGGCCCACATATCCACCTCCACCTGGGCTTCCAGACCTGCTGCCCACTGCCTGTGACCCTGGCCCCCTTCTCCAACTAAGCCTTTATACTTGAAAATAAAACGTTAAAGCATTGAGACAGCTTAAATGTGTATTTTTGGCACGGAACCACATTACCATCTCTCGGTGGGAAATCGAGGGCTTTACTTGGCTAGATTCAAAAGGTTATGAGTCAGTGAATGTGTAAGTGCAGCTGCTGTAACAAAAGATCTCAAGCTACAGTAACTATAAAAACACAAATTTAGCCCTGGCTGGTGTGGCTCAGTGGATGGAGTGCCAGCCTGTGAGCCAAAGGGTCGTTGGTTCAATTTCCAGTCAGGGCATATGCCTGGGTTGCAGGCCAGGTCCCCAGTAGGGGGTGCACAAGAGGCAACCACACATTGCTATTTCTCTCCCTCTCTCTTTCCCTTCCCCTCTCAAAAAATAATAAATCAATCTTAAAAAAAAACAAACACATTTATTTCTCTGGGTGGTTCCGATCCATGCAGTCACTCAGGGACTCAGATTCCTCTCCATTTCTTGCCCCCACTCTCCCCCTGGGTCTGGCTAAAGCTAAATCATGCCATGTGGATGTTCTTCCAGCTCATGGGAAAGGGAAGAGAATATGGAGGAGCCCCGGCCAGGCCCACCTTCGGCACAAGTCACTTCTGCTCACATTCCATTGGTGAGAACTACATGCATGGACCCACCTAGCTTCAAGGGAGGCTGGGAGTGCACCCAGCTACAGTTCTGTTACAGCAGCAGGACAGGTTTGGGGAAGTGGCTGCCACTCAATTTCATATATGTTCCTTTGTTCCTTCATCCATCCAGACATTCCCTATAGGGCCAGGCCCACTTCTGTAGGTGCCCTTCAATCTCTGCTCTTCCTGCTTGGGTATCCTCAGGCAAGAGGCTCAGTCTCTCGAAGCCTCAGTGTCTTCAGCTGTCAAATGAGGACCCCTCTCCTGGCCTGGTTCAAGCAACAACCTGGGGCCTGGGGGCAGGGGGCGCAAAAGGCCCAGCTCCTCGGGCGTAGGTAGAAAGTGTTTCTCATATCCAGAATCAAGGCGGGCGGAGGCCTGGGGGTACTCTATAACTGGCAGTGGCTCCATCTCCTCCACCTCCAAGATGGGCGAGTCCATGGGGGGCTGGGCCTGGGGTACCTCCTGGGAAGAGAGATGGCTGAGATTATGGCCCCCATTCTCTCTCAATGCCCCTACCCATCCCACCCCCATCTCAGCATCCCCCAACCTCCCTGGGGTTCCCAAAAAGCCAGTGTTTTTGCTCACCTCTACATGGGGCTGGCTGGAATTGCTGTTGGCAGGATCGGGGACATTCTCCCAGACCCAAGAGGGCAGTACCTTGTGCTGCAGATGGAGGCACCTGGAAGGCAGGTAAGAGTCAGGGAGGAGAATCCAAGTGGCTAGATACTCACATCTAGATTGCAGGGTCCAGGCGTGTCACAAAGCCCTGGGTGTCCCCTCACCCCAGAAGCTCTATCGCCCCGCTGCCTTTCCCACTGTGCAGAGGCCCATTTGTCTGACAGCCTCACCTTCCAGAGGTAGCCAGGCTTATGCCACAGCATGTCAGGAACAAGCCCCACAGGAGGAGGACAACGGGCAGAATTTTCAACTTTAGGGTGTTATCTGGGGGTGAGGAGCAAAAGAACAGTTAGATACCTGGAGTGGGGGAGGGGTCAGGTAAGGCTCATTGATATCCTGGGCTTGGGTGAGGGAGAAATGGGCAGGGCTTATGAAAATAGGTAGGGGCTACAGGTGGGCAAAATCTTGGAGTGGGGGTGGGGCTTGTGAACAGCAGTAATCAGTGAAAGGTCAAGGTCAGAGGTGGGTGAAGTGGTCAGAGATACACATTGCCTGATAACCTACAGCAGTATTTAGCAGAATCCAAATGCATCATAAATAACCACCCCCTAAGTCAAAAGGTTGCTCAATCACTGAAGCCCAGCGAATAATGCCATGTCCTCTGAAAAACAAAGCAGGCCCTCTACCATGGCCGTTCCACCCCAGTCCCTACCTGGTAGATGAAGCCGGAGGCTGGGACCAGGTGGGCCCTGTCCTGCAATGGTGGATGCCGTCATCCACAGCTCACAGGGACCCCAGGGAAGGTTGGGAAGGGTGATTTTCTGGGTGCTGCCACTCACTGAAGGACAAACCCAGAAAGGTTAGGCAGGTGGTCAAGCCCTACCTCAGGGCCTTTGCACATGCTTTCTCTCTGTCTGCAACACTCTCCCCCAGATATCCACATGGCTCTGTCCTTCAAGTCTTTGCACAAATGTTGCCTCCTTAGGGAGGCCTTCCCTTGCCCTATCACATATAAAATTGCACCTTCTTTACAACCCATCTTTCCTGCTTTATTCTCTACCCAGCACTGATCACCATCTGACACATTGCTTAGGTGCTATTTACTTTGTTAATGCCTGAATGTCCCCCATGAGAAAGTAAGCCCCAAGAGGCCATATTCCCAGGACCTGGATCAGCCTGGCACATAGAAAGCACTAAAAAATGATACAGATTTAACAGGTAAGAATAAATGAGTACCATATCCCTCACCTGCACAGAACCCAGTGGAGGGAGACTCCTTGGACCCTGGGTAGACATTTGGATGTTCCCGAGCTATTTTTGCTTACGTTTTTATGAATTGCTCTTTTTTGTTTTTAAGCCAAGAGGAAGTGACTTTTTCCTTTATTATAGGATTATAGGAGACATGAACAGGGATCAAGAAATATTGCCCAAGAAGGATGTCCAAGCTGAGTCATCAAGTGAAAAAAGAAAGTTGCAAAACATCACAGTCATAGATTCATGGGCCAAACTATAGCCTATAACATGGTCCTCTTTAATAATAATAATAATAATAATAATAATAATAATAATAATGATAGATATAACTTTTAACCTAATGATCTATTACCTATATTTGCAAGATACAACATGGCAAAGTAATTATATTAAAAAGTAGGCTTTATCAATTAGAAACAAATGTGAAGTACCGAAATATTTAGGGATGAAATGACACCAAAGACCCTAGGAACAAAAGTGGGGGTGGGGGGTAAAGTGAAACAAGATTGGCAAAATGTAGGTAACTGCTAGAGCTGGATGGTGGGCACAGGAGGATTTGTTATATTCTCCCAACTTTTGTATGTGCTTGCAATCTTCAAAAACCAATATACACATAGAAAAGCCTGGGAGCTCTGTTGTCTGTAGCAGTGAAATGGTGAAAATGCTGATACTCTCAATGAGGTGTGCCAGCTTTTGTGACAAGCACAGACAATTTTTGTAATTAGAAAAAAAAGGGTAATAAGATATTGTTTAAAAAGGAATTTGTGCCCAAAGTAAAAGTTTAGCCTATACTCAAAGGTATGAAAAAGAAAGAAAATACGTAATCCTACAATCCTGTTGGCATTGACAGAAATTTCTTTCTGCCTCTGCTTTGCTCAATGCTGGGTTTACTCTACAAAAAGTGGAACAATCCCACATAGTTTTGAATCCTTTTATCTTTTTCACTTAATGAAATATGACAGGCATCTTTCAATGTCAATCAATATAGATTAGAGTCTTCATTTTTAATGGGCAAATGACAGTCCATTACATTGACAGCCACCAGGGTTATTGTCCACTAGGGAACCGATGACATCATGCATTCTCCTAGGGGCTGAGAGGGAACCAAATGGGCCCATCTGAGGAAAAGGGGTGAGGAAGACTGATAGGTGGGTCTTGTGGGGGCTCGGAGCAGGGGACGGAGGCAGAAAAGCTCACCATTCATGCAGACAGAAGGCCTGGTCCCACTCTGTGCACACAACGTGTAGTGGGTGAGATGCCCCCGAAGTTGGTGCCTTGGGACCTCTCCCCACGCTATGGTGGGAGTCCCTGGGGGCGCATCCTGGAGTCGCCAAAGCACTGGGCCCACTAAAGGTGCTGCAGAGAAAGCCAGTGGGTCAAGGTCTGCCCGGGTTCCAGGACCCTCCACCTTCCAGCCCCATCCCTAGCTTACCTAGTTCCTCTCTGAAACTCCAGACCGAGGGAGCAGGGTACAAGCCTTCAGGAGAGACCGCTGTCACTGTGATTCTGTAGGGAACCCCTCCTTCGAAATTCCCTGGGGTGGGGTGGGGGTAGGAAGAAAGACCAGCTCGAGGTGGCTTCTCCTCCCCCACTCATTTCCTACGTAAAAGGAGCCTTCATTTGGGTTTCCGGAAGGACATGCTGAGATCGAGATCTGGGTATAAGTCATTTATCCGGGAAGTAACCCCAGAAAACACCCCGAGGGCTAGCGAGGAAGCGAAAGCCGGAAAGAAAAGCGGCCAGTAAACGGTGCTTTGGAGAAATTCCCAATGTGGGCAACAGAGGTTCACTTCCGCTGCTGACCTCTGGGAGGCAGCAGAGAGCACGCGCCTGAGACCCATTGGGTTCCAGGAGGGAGCGAGGATATCTATACATCAACTCTTACTTGTTATTGGTCAGGGCTGCACCTGAAGCGGCCTAACTCCCTGCACTTCCAGCCTTCTGCCCAGGCAGGCAAAATGCTTCAGAGACCGGAAACAGACCTCGGGCCAGAAAATGCTGGAGGCTGGGAGATGGCCAAGGACGAAGCTAGGGTGCCGGCCTTGATACCACCCATCACTGTAAAGTGAGGTTCCTGAACTCCCTCCTCAAAACTACTGCTGCTGCATGGTCTTCCCCAACTGGGAATTTTCCAGATTTGAGGCTCCTCTTTTTTTGTCCATATACACTATGGGCCTCCGGACTTCTTCCTATATGTCTCACTCAACGGCTCCTCATGCTCTCCCAAGTTCTCAGCCTCAAGGAAGGATTCCTCAGTGTCAAACGAGCCCCAGCCTGGAACTCATTGTTGGGCCCAAGACCAGACATTTGAGTCTCTGGGACAACTCTACTTGGATAAGCCTCTCAGATGCAAACTTATCAGACGGGTTCCAAGACTCCCCAACCAGAACCTGCCTGCTTCTTTCCCCTCCAGAGTCCCACCTGGTCCATCCCTCATTGTCTCCTCCCGGACAAGTACAGTTCCTTCTCTCAGCTTCCACCCCCTCCCCGCAACACAGTCTGT